TGAGGGTGCCCGAGCCCTGGCCCAGCTGGCCCAGGCGGGCTGTGGAGTCTCCTTCTCTGGAGATATTCAACCCCCGCCTGGACGCTGTCCTGTGCCCCCTGCTCTGGGTGAGCCTGCTTGGGCAGGGGGGTGGCACTGGGTGAGCTCCAACCCCTGCCAGTCTGGGATTCTGTGATTAACTGTAAGCACACGAGTAGCCCCACTGAGATCAAACGTCACGCTCGGCGCATTCACAGCCCTTTGGAGAAGCCAGTAGAAGCACGCAATTTGTAAATACTCTGCATCGTGGGACACGATACTTAACAACACTTTTTGCCCCAACTTGCTACTGCACCGACGCCATATAACCCCTGCGCCATTATGACTCAAAATTTGATGCTCTGGAGTCCACAGTTGCTTTCCTGCAGGTATTAGTAAAGCCATGCAGCGTCCCTCTGGCGCCGGCAGGACCACAGCCTTCCCGCTGCAGCTTTGCTGTTGAAGCACATACACGATGGAGCAGATTTGGCTTTTACAGGTTGGTTTATGCAGTATCTCTGCAGCCCAACAAACACGGGAGCATTGAGGCGATAAAGCCCTTAAAAGCAGATGTAAATATTATGATTTAGCCTACACTAATATTTATGGAATTAAAGAAAGAAAGAGCCTGCTCTCAATGGCATGGGTATAAATGAAGAATGACAACGTTGTATGGAAACCCCTTATTAAACTGTCACGTATAAGTATCAATTAAACAACGTTGGGGGATATTGCAGCCTTGCTGAAATGACTGTACTTGTTAAAACCGGAAGGGAAGAAGGGAGAACCATGCTCCCCACACACCAAATTCAGCAGCCAGGTTAACTACCTGTTTCTTTCAAGGATCAGGGGCAAGGCGGGCGCCCGCCCCGGCAGAGCGCTCAAGAAGGGACACGTCCCTCGCTCCCGGCCCCGCCGCGGGAACACCCAGCGCCCCATCAATAGGGATGACTTCATTAAAGTGGCGTTTTGTCTTCCGGCACGATTTTGACAGCTCACTGCTCCTCTCAGGCCGCTGAGGAGCATCCACCGCACCGGGCTACGGAGCCCGCGGGTGGGGATTTTTTTTCCTCCAGCTGCAGCAGATGCCAAACGCGGGAAGGCCTGCGCCTTTGCTTCCTGACTGCATCCCGCCGACAGCCGGGGCCGGGGACATCGCTCCTGCTGCTATGGCAACCGACGGCGACGTCCCCCACACCCTCACACCCCCCCCCCACGCCACCCGAAACGTGGGCAGGAAGAAAAGGTGCAGACCGTGGATGAGCGTAAACCTTCAACGGAGAGCGCAGGGGGGAGGGACTATTCGGGGATTTCTTTGCAGTAGTGCAAAGCCCTTTTTTGAAGGAATTCTGAGGAAGCCTCAGAGGTGAAATGCCGGGAGGCAGGCGATCATTCGGCCATCCGCTGCACCCAACAGAACAAACCACAGCGCGCTTCGGAGCCTCGCCGAGCCGCCTGCGGAGCGAGATGGGACCTGCTTCAGCCGGCATCGCTATAAATATTCCCCCGAGACACAGCCCCGCGTCGGTCAGCAAGGATGAGTCAGCTCCACTTCATTTTCAGAAAATTTGGTTACTTTTTTTTGTTGGTTTTTTTTTTTTTTTTACAAATGCCCATAGACTGAATGAGTCTTTCACCCTCCAGCGAGAGCTGTTCCCAGCGAGGGCTGTGACGAGGCAGAATGGAGGCGATCGCGCTGCTGCTGCTGCTGCTCCGCGCTTGGCTTGGGAGGGGAAAACCGAGCCCGTGAGATTTTTAAGCTCGCCATTATCGCGCCCTCCCCCCAGCAAAGAGCTACAGTTTGAGAATAAGCAGAATAAAATGAAACAAAAATCGGTTTGGCTGCTGGGAGCGGGGCGTGGGGTTCTGCTGCACGTCAGGGTGAGTTTGCCAACCTGCAGAAACGATGCCGGGGGCGCGGGGGAGCGAGGAGGGAGGGAGGTCGGTGCCACCACCGGGCTAGACCCGGGCGGGCGCAGCCACCCGC